CGGCCCGAGTCTAAGGCTAATCTCCATCTAGTGTTATACCTCCAGTCCTCAGGTTTTTTTAACGCTAGTTGGGTGTGACTAAGTCCCTTGTACTGCGGCCACTTCTGGCCTATTGTACCAGCCCCAGAAGATAGGTGAGGGTGATTGTGGAGCAATTGGTGGAATGAAGATTGGCAGGGGAAACTGAAGTACTAAGAGAAAACTTGGCCCAGCGCCACTGTGTCCACCACAAATCCCACTTGACCAGACCCGGGCTCGAAACCGGGCCGCCGCGGTGGGAAACCAGCGACTAACCGCTTGAGCTATGGCGCGGTCCCGTCCTCAGGGTTGGTGCCTAATTAATCACAGGGACTACTTTTCATTTTTATTATCATCTGCCGGCGTTCAGTTTCAGATAAAGACAAGATTTTCCTCTTCGTCATGAAGTGGATCCCAGCTCCGGGACCCATCGAGGCATTCTAGCCGGTGGGTACTGGGGCTCAAGTACTCGGAAGATGATGTGATTTATCTAGTGTACGAGTTGGGAGATATAATTACATTTCTAAGATGAAACCAGAGGCTGCGCTATAGCTCAAGAGGTTAGTCGCTGGCTTCCCACCGCGGCGGCGCGGGTCCCAGCACGGTTCTGGTCATGTGGAATTTGTGGTGGACAAAGTGGCCCGGGGCAGGTTTTCTCCGAGTACTTCGGTTTCTCCTGCCAATCTTCATTCAACCAGTTGCTTCACAATCACCATCATCTATAAACTGGGGCTGGTATAATAGGCCAGAAGTGGCCACAGTACCAAGTGGACTTAGTCCCACCCCACTAAGGGAAAAAAAGATGAAACCAGAATGTATCTTTTACATAATTATACAAAACTACAGTTTTGCCTGTGGCTTTATATGGGCGTAAAACCTGGTCTCTGACATTAAGGGAGGAACATAGACTGATGGTGTTTGAGAACAGGGTGCTGAGGAGAATATTTGGCCCGAAGTAAGATGAAGTGGCAGGAGGTTGGAAAAAACTGCATAATGAGGAGCTTCATAACTTGTACTCTTCTCCAAGTATAATTAGAGTGATCAAGTCAAGAAAGAGGAGATGGGTAGGGCATGTAGCACACATGGGAAGAAGCGGAAGGCATATAGCATTTTGGTGGGAAAGGCAGAAGGAAAGAGACTACTAGGAAGACCTAGACGTAGGCGGGAAATCTTACGGAGATAATGGACTGGATTGATGTGGCTCAGGATAGGGACCAGAGGAGGGCTCTTATGAACACGGCAATGAACCTTTTGGTTCCATAAAATGCTGGGAAGTTCTTCAGTAACTGCACAACTGGCGGCTTCTCAAGAAGGGTTCAGTTCCATGAAATTAGTTTGTTAATCAATTATACTCGATTACAAAGTTTTGGTATAAGATCGGTCACATCCGGTAACCACACGTTTGACGAATCCACCTCTAATTTCGGTTAAGCTACCACTTTCCTTGTCTGAGTTTATTCGCGGTTTCTGTCAGTTTCCGCAGGCGAATTCTGAGACACTAGCTTCACACAGACTAAGTAAGCTCCTTCTAAACCCTTATCTGTTCATCCCTTGTCACTCCACCTCCTCCATACGCCCTTCATGATGTGGTGGCTGGGCGTAGAGGCAAGTTTACGTGTATCGTTATCACTGAGTATTCGTATTTCATCTCGAGGATTACCGCCATGTCATAGAGAAGAGGTTTCCGTACGCAAATGACCCGGTGAGCTATGCTGGCGGGAACCTAAGCTCCTGGTAGAACCAACCGTGTCAGGTCAAACGGTAGAGACCACATGAAGTGTAGTCACTGACCCTCAAAGTTGGCGGTTGTGCATGGGACTAACATCACCCTGGAAACACTTCCTGTTACGAAATCATGGAGGAGGCCAAGACCCACACAAGGTTGTGGGGCCAGTAAAATAGAAGGTATTCATATTAATTTCGCAGCAAAGGGGCTCGTAATCTCAGATGTGCCTTATATCCAACTGCAGAGAACCGACAAACGGTTGTCAGTAAGACTGTCATACCAAGCTAAAAGACAGTACATTTACACGTTCAAACAGTTTATTTGGATCTGTGAGTAGACTTGTGTTTTGATGTAATATTCATTTGTTCATTGAGGTGCAGTTAAAATCCCAGCGGGCTTTTGAGTAATTATTGTCCATCTGTTAAGTCTGTGACAAAAAGATAGACATTCCATCATTGATTGTGTGATGTGAATACATGAGCGTACACTACTGTTTCTTTTTTCCTTCTTCTTTTGTTACTTTTAACACTTCATTTCCTCATTTACACTACTTGATTTGCAAACAATTTTAAAGTGTTTTCATGAAGATAACGTGCAAACAAACGAATCTACCAGCCACTCACCCAGTCAACTGTTTAAATGACTATGGACTGTGCGTAATCCGTAAATTATTTAAATGTAATAATACGTGCTCCATTTTATTATTATTATTCTTTCTAGATATCTATACAGTAGCAACTTAGATTTGTTAATCAAATTACTACTACTACTACTACTACTACTACTACTACTACTACTACTACTACTACTACTACTACTGTGTTTCCTTATATGCATTAATTTGTTTTCCTCCAATGCTTACCTTTAATTATTCTTTGACTTTATGTCGTGTTTGTCCAGCATGTAACTACTTTTATTTACACTGTGCTGTCTTTCATTGGCCTTGTGACTGTTGGCTCAGCACATAAATAATAAAGAATTGAATTAGTATTATTGCTTCTCATTTTTACATAAAATGGAAAAATATTATAACAGTACGGGCTTTGTCAAGTGCTTGTACCTTTAACTATTACAGCTATCACAAGACATTCATAAAATGTCTTATGGTACAGCATGTATACAAAATTACTGATTCTTTATTGATTATGATGCATATTTTCTGTTTTAAGTTTTCTAGTTCGTATTTTAGAATTCGTGGCGCTAATCGAGAAGATCGCGTCGAATATGAACACCTTTCAGTCGTCACATTTCTTCGATTTCTTCAGTCAATTCTGTATTTGTATTTCTTATTATTATTATTGCCACCACCACCACCACCATCATCATCATCATCATCATCATCATAGAACCGGGATACCTGAGTCGGTATAGCGAGGGGCTACCAAAAGGGAAAGAGTTTTCTGTTCTCCATAGCGTTCATACCGGGTCTGGAACCCACCCAGCCTCATAGCGGAGGTTCGTTTCCCGGGGGTATAGTGGGCACGGCGTGAAGCTGACCACTCATTTCTACCTAGTGTCGTGGTCAAGATACCTCTGCTTCCCAATACGTCTTCGTGGCGTGATGCTTAATTAAACACAAGGACATCTTTACCAGTTACTTTAACAGTTACCATGCATTTTTGTATTCTACGATGTTATCAGTAGCTCAGACTATATCGCGCCGCATGTTAGGATCATTGATGAATAATAAATTGGAAAGGATTTGCAAGGAAGAGGTCGTGGTCGGATTATGATTCAATTTATTTCTTTATTTACGTACTTGCTCAACAGCTCAGCTGCCAGTTAGAAAAAAGCAAAAGAAAAAGGAGATGAAGAAACACGTAGACGAACAAAAGATAAAACGGGTAATTCAATTCAATTATTATTTACTGACGTGCATAATTAACAGTCCAAATGCGAATTACAAAGTAAGAACGAGCAAAGGCAAAACAATACACACAACCAAATTCTATAATAATAACAATAATAATAATAATAAAGTAAGTAAAGTAAAGGTATCCCTGTAACAGGCCGTGGAGGCCTATACGGTTATGAGACGTCGAGGCTCCCACATTTTCTAGACAATCGGCTCATAGATGGCGGTAAGGTTGTCAGCCCTACGCGCCGGCCGCCCTTTACNCAAAGTTATCACGACTACACAGAGATACACAAAAAATAATTAAAGAACAAAATACAAAATACGACAGTCTGTATAGGGGCAATCAATAATAATTCCAAGAAAATTTAAAGTTAGCGTTGGTAGGCGAGAAAAATAAAATAAATAAATTTCCAGTGGTTATGCCATTATGTGGCACGTGCGTACGCACATGCGTTAGTAATAATCAATTAATTCTTACTTGTTTGTGTGCTAACACAACATCCAAATAATAATAATAATAATAATAATAATGTTTGAGCATGAGAGACACGATTTGGCATTAGGGTGCTACAGCCAAAGAAAATGAGATGGGCTACATTTTCCATGGATTGAATGAAAATAGTGCGGGTACAAAATGTGTATGCAGAGAACTCTAAAAAGCAAGCATCTACCATATTTATTCCGAGTCATCATTCACAGTTTTATCCGACAGTGTGTAATTCAACTATAAGTAACACTGGTAATTGATGCAGCATAATAAAGTAACTGTGTGAGCAACAGCAATTTGCGGTCATGGAAGTAGAAAGTTCCAAGTCCTGTATATTTTCACTTCAATTTAAGTGTGTTTGACTTTGTTTATTTAGAAGCTATGAAGAAAAGAAAGGAAACAGGAGAAAGTGCAGTTGACATGAGTTCCAGGCTGCGTGTATTTCCCTTTCCCACCATGAGCTAAACCACTCAACACCAATAAAGCAGAACCTCCTTCCGTCAGAAGTGGCAGATTATTTTTAAAGAACAGCCAGAGACTGAACGGAAGCAGTCTAATGCTAGAGGTTTATATTAAACGACGACTTGGGAATTTCCTGTTTAATTTTCTTTAGGAATCAAAGAGTATTATGAAATTTATGAAGAGTACTTACTGTTTCCCTCGAAAGTTTGTTTATTATCAATGTGAGTTCAAAATTCTTACTAAAATGCAATCTAGTTCCGCCACCAAACGTCTTAAAGAAATTTCTTATATCATTTTGGTGTGTCAGTAGAATGGAATTAGGGCCTACTTCACTCTCTTTGCCTGTTGATTGGTTCACTTTCCGCACTGTGTCAGCCATAGAGGTTATTTAACGCCGAATCAGATGGTCTTTGGTCTTTATCGTCGTTATGTAAGGTGTACTGGTAAAAAGAAGTTGATGGCGAGGTTTGGGGCAAGGAAAGGTAGCGATCGTAGCGAAGTTATGAATGAAGAAGAAATTGGTTGGAGTCTTTTTATAATTGAAATTTTAAAGAGGAAGTTCAGCGTTGTTTTCAGTATCAAATATGATTTATCTGGATTTGGCATGTTGCAGAAATATGCTGATATAATGTTTTGAACGAAAGGGTAAAATAATTGTTTCCATATACCTTACAGCACGTGTTCGACACGCCTACTTAAATAGAAACAAATGTATACAATATCTAGTTTCTTGAAGAAAGATACCTGCAGTAGGTACATTGTTATGTAGATGTTTATGATTTTTTCTTTGTGGGGATGAATGGTATCGAAAAGTTGTGGCTTTTAAAATATAGAATACGGTTTGTGTCCAACTCAAGAAAGGAGCCTGACCTGCCTTGCAGCTGCCGAGCGAAACAAAACCCAAAAGGTAAGAAGGGGTGAACAGAAACTGTCCTTGGTAGAGTACTAAGTAGTCAGGTACTTTAAGAATACGTTTCAGGTGAAAATGCCCATAATATTATGATAAACGTAATTTGAAGCCAGACTTTAGTTGTTACAAGTATTGTATAGTAAACTGGGTGAAAATTGTAGGCAGGTGCGGTATTTGAAGTGGTGGTTCTTATTGTTTTAATACTTCCTACCTTGATTTATTTGTAATGAAGGAATCCCAAGAATACCACAGAACCTTATAATTGAGATAATTTAACCTGGGGTGATCTAGTCAGACGAGGGGAGACTGATGTTCTCGGAGTGAGTGATAGTTGTATAAAAAAGGGTGTAGTCACCATAGGCTAGGAAAGTTGAAATTTGTGTGGTGATATTTTGAGTAAGACACCAGTCATTATCTGTCCTATACCTCAAAATTTGCAGTTTATGTTGAATAGCACTGTGCCCCCCTTGCCAAAAAAAGACCCTGTAAGTAATGGATGCAAAAGTGGCAGAAGCCATAGGTTGAAGGGTCAGTTCCCTAGCCGTTTGAAAGAATAAGAGGCACCCTCGTTCTGGTGGTTGTTAGTAATTGTAATATTCTAGTAGTTACTCATGTAATGAATTACATTTCTGAATCACTTTTATGATGTTACAGAATTAATTGATTATGTATTGTTTTGTAATTGTTTATTGCAGTTGATGTTGATAGTAAGTTTTATTATAATACTGGCGGAGCAGCCGTATTGAGGTTAAATTGCTGAGTCAATTGTCCAGCTTTTTGTAATAAATTTCAGCATATAATGCTTCCTACTTTCCAATGAACGACTGGTCAAGTAGTATGGAATAGATTTAGGTACAGTGAGGCTATTATGTTGTGCCACTCTGCTGATAATGGACAAATAAAGTTGTTGTTTAGGACTGAATTAGAAATTTCATTATTTTTGGATATGAATTATTGAGTTTGGACAACATATCACATCGGGGAAGTTTGGTCCCCATTTATTCAGAAACTTACATTCATATGCCAGTGACAAGTAATTTATTATTTCATTGAGTTTACATACTTTTTGTTTTATTTTTCTGCATTTTAATAATTTTTATTGCTGGTGTGGTGGGACTAAGTCCCTTGCACTGCGGCCACTTCTGGCCTATTGTACCAGCCCCAGATGATATGTGAGGGTGATTGTGGAGAAATTGGTGGAATGAAGATTGGCAGGGGGAACAGAAGTACTCGGAGAAAACCTACCCCAGCGCCACTTTGTCCACCACAAATCCCACTTGACGAGACCTGGGATCGAACTTGGGCCGCTGTGGTGGGAAGCCAGCGACTAACTGCTTGAGCTATGGTGCAGCCCATTTTAATAATTAGTGTTACCAGTTCTTAGAGATAGCCTTCCATAAGAAACAGATTTCCTTGACTGAATTTCGAAAGTATATCATATAAAACTAAGTTTAGATTCATGAAAGACTGATCTCTAGTAAAAAGTCTCTTTTTGGAGCAAGGCAGAGTTACTCTTAAAAATAACTTGTGTTATGAAGACACTGAGGTCTAGTCTTATGGACCAGGCATCACTGCTGGTTCAGATTTGTGAAATGGATAGAGCTGGTTACAAATGAGGTAGGAGAACCCATTTCTATGGATCTGTTAGTTATAGAAAGGGCCAGGGGCAAAAAGGGGGATTATTTAAGGAATCTCCCCTTGGATAAGAAGAAGAGGGGAGTCTTCCCAAATATGTCTAGTGGTTGTAGGTATTAAATGACACCAACCACCACACTGGGATTGTTGCTGTTATTCTCTTCTTAATTGAAGCTGGTAATGCTCACTGGAGTCATGAACAAGTGTCTCATTATGGTACTGACAATAGTAATGTAAAGTTCCATATGGGCATTAGACTAAATAGTTTTAATAAATGCTGTCAGAACATTAAGAGGATTTGCAGTACAGCTAAGGGATTATCTATTAAAGGAGTAGACACAGCAGTCTCTTTACATCATATGCCTTACTGAGAACCATATCAATGTGCCTGAATTACTGCAGTTTCTTTTAGATGCGTATAGTTTAGGATCCAGTTATTGTACACAGATTTCTGGAAAAGGGACTGCAAGTTGACTCAACATGCATCCCCTCACCAAACACCAACTCAAAAACATTAACACCACAAGACAACACAACTGACACAGCTTAATTATCCGTATAATGGTATAGGATCCACACCTACACTCTTATCTCCGAAATTCATCCCAGGAAGTTTTCAAGAATATCCCACATTTGTCCAATATTTTGCTTTTGACAGTTATCTATATATCATATCCATTGATGCCTTTTATGAATCGCATGATTAGGAAACACACCTGTAAAACTTTCTCTCCATATTTAAAATATGAAGGACTAGTGATGAATCTAAACTGCCAAGATGTGGAAGCTCTTAATTATTTTATAATATAACCTGTACTTGACCGAAATCTGTACTTTTATATATATTTAATGAATACGATGGGAATGTAACCATTCATTCTTAAATTTGATGAACAGCGTTCAACATTGATTAACATTAAACACATTCATCTTCTTTTTCTGCCATATTATACTGTTTCTTGTACAAAAATACTGGACCATATTTGTGAGACCTCTGTAATTAGATCAGATAACACATTATTTATCGATATTATATGGAAGTGTAAGGATGGTTGTTTATTTATGTTTCATCTAACATCACTTATTAATGTTATATTTTAGCGTCCTGTTGCACTGATTTAAGTCCATGATTTATTTTATCCGTCTTCTAGTGCACACATTCATCTATCCCCTCTTCTCACTCGCACTACATGTTTCGGCACAAAAGTGCCATCTTCAGGTGCTGATCCAATCCACGACAAACTAGTTCATTGCATGCCTTGTCTATACATACTAAAATAACTAAAATATATATTTATCATATATACTGATAAATGTTAAGTGTTAAAATATTAAAATTGTACAGCTTATTAGCTTATTAGCTGATGTTATACAGAATGTTTCACTTTCAGAAAAAGAACAGCTAGTTAGATCTCACAATGTGGTGCCATAGTTGATTTGCTGGAAACTTTTCAGAAGTGTCAGATTTCAGATTTAAGTTCTAACTAGAGCTGTAACAGTTATTCAGAACAAAGAAGAGAATAATGGCACAACTTCCCAATGGAGTGTTCTACATTATTCAGTTTGCTTTGTAAAAATGCTGAAATCAGTGGTCTAGTGCAGTGTTTCTCAACCGCCAGGCCATGGCATCAGTTATACTGGGCCCTCGTCTAATAAAAAAAAGAATTTACCTGGCTCCCTTGTGACATGTATTTAGGGTTATCCCTTAAAATGCAGCGCCCTTGCCTGAATACAGAAAGTCCATAACATCCCTGAAACTGGGATTACAGTGATGTCAAAGAACATCATGACCTATAAAATTCTGAAAATCCAAAGGGTGGTCACAGCTTTATTTGGACTGCATCCATTCCCATCATACACAAGAAGTTTTAGCTTCATAGAATACAGGTATCACTATTTCTGTTTCTTTTCTCATTGCAATGCAAAAGTCTTCTAATGACAGGTTCTCTTTATATATAAGGTTTTGGTGGTGTCAGTGAAGAATTCAATGTTTGAAGCTTCTCACTGGCAGATGGAGTGAAGAGCACTCAAAGGGCTCATACCTCCTGCATGACAACTTCATGGACGCTGATCACAGGTATGTCTGTTAGATCAGGAGCCAATGCGAAAATTAAAAGTTAGAGACTCACATTAATGTGTATAATGATGTCATATTGCATATCTATTAACTGTTAAAGTTTCATGAGTTGTCTGGTGCCTAATATACATTTTTGTGAACTCTAGTGAGTCATAATTGATAGTTGTGTAAGGTTTTATACAGTTGTTAGTCTTTTTTTGTTTGGAATGATGTGGCAGTGGTGGAGAAACTGCTGTTTCAGGTACCAAAGGATTTAAGATAGTGAGTATCACCCATGAATTTCCAGTCCCTAATTCTGCACATCTTTCATGAGACATTCCATACTCCAGGTATGTATCACTTCCAATGCCTCAGTGTTATGGCTGTTTGTTTTTTCCATCTGCTGCAATATTGCAGCTGGGAAATTGATTTGATGGATATTGTGTGAGGTATATTTGGTATATACACAGTTTTGGAATATGATTTTTTCAGATGACAGTAACTATTCAGAGATTTATTTTACCACAGTGTGAAATTCTGTGACTATAAATAGTATATTTCCGCTGGCTTATTTATTTATTTATTTATTGGAGGTGTTGATTGATTTATAGAACATTTCTTAAGGCCTGCTTGAGGACTCGGACACAACTGAGCTAATACTATAAGTCCATTTGCATCAGCCAGAGCTGCTATTTCCTCTGATAGCCTACACAAACATTTATGTTTAAATTATCACCATAATTAAAACTTAAATAATTTTTGGAAGACAAGGGAGACATCTGTGAAGAAATTGCTGTCCAAGTGATAAAACATCCAAGAAGTTCTCCCCATGCACATGATCTGCAAGAAGCCCATTGATTTGAGACAGAATAAGGAATGACCAGAAAATTTTTCTTAAACACTGCATACAAATGTGGAGCACCCTAGTTGTAGAGGTGTTTATTGAGACAGTGTTGAGTGGGAATTCAAAACCGAAGGGATACCTTGAAGTTGCAGATTCCCTGGGCACTGTGGTACCTTGAAAGTTACTTATTGGGTGTGCTTTGAAGACCACATGTTGGTCTCGCCACGTCTGAATCAGTTCAAGAGAAACAGTGTTTAAACAAGAGTTTCTAGACACAAAGTTTACAAATGTGGTGGCCCTCATTCATTTTTCTAATATTATGCCAAAAGTTATATCTATGATTATACTAAATATTTAATTATAAGTTAACAATAAATAATAATGACTAACTTGGCAGGGCAAAGACCTCAACCCACTGGGCAAAACCTGGCATTTAGCAAGTTTCTGCTGAGTTCCAGATAACTGTTTGTAACTCCAGCAGATGGCAAGGAATTCCTGAACTCTCTTGATGGTCACACTTGGAAATGCTTAAATGATATATACATCCATATCAGTGATTACAGCGGAAAAATCCATTTGATTATGGTATTGAAATGTGTGGAGTGTGTAACACCATGAAAAATATATTGGCCTGGTGTCTGGAACACCCATGTAAATACCTCTCAGTAAATGTGTTAACATCCCTCTGTTATTCTCTTGTCTGTGTGCAGGTGTCTCAAATGGTCTCTTCTCTTAAGATAGTCTGGCTAAAGTGTTGTGTTTTTACTCCTCATGCATGCTGCATGCTCAGTCAATTTCATCCTCATTAAAGTATTCTAATATTTGGTAAAGAATAGAAATTATGAAACACTTCCTTGTGCAGTTTTCTCCATTATCCTGTAACATCCTTCCTCTTAGGTCAAAATATTCTCAGTTCTCCTGTTCTCAAACACTCTTAGTCTGTGTTATTCACATGGGGTGAGAGACCAAGGTTCAGAGCCATACAAAATGTCATGTAAAATTGTAGTTTTGTATATACATTGCATATACATATATTCATTTTTACATTGCTGGCTAGGATATGGTAACCCAGAAGAGTCTGTACTATGTGACAGCAGGCTTTCCACACATTTAATATCCTCTTTAGTTTCTTCTTGAATGCAGTTTTGTTTTCTTACTGTATTTCTCTGTAATTGTTGTAGTAGTTAATCGTATTTGGTTTGTATTCACTGTGGTAGGATGTCCTTATTGTTGTGTTTTGTTTGAACGTGTTGTCACTTAGTGTAATGTGTGTTACTTGTCTGTTGTGTCCTATTGTGTACTACTGCCACCGGGCTAAAACCCAATTGCAGTATAATAATAAATAATAATAATAATAATAATTCCGAAATATTTTGACTTTCCCATACTTTCAAAGGATTTATTAGCTACATTATCATTGTACTGTATTATAATTTTCCTGTGCATTCTGATGAAATGACTTCTTCATGTATTTACTTGTGTCTAACATAATGTCTGTTCTTCATGTTATTTATGTTTTCACTCAGTAAATTATCATCATCAACATGTATCAGAGCTGATGTGTCCTAATCATTTCCAGCCCCCTCCCCCCCTGATTTTCTTGTATTTTCCTGATAATGTATCCTACAGAAACGCTGAAAACCAGTAGCACTAAGGCATCATAATGTTTGGAACCATTCTGTATTAGAAATGCATGAGACAGATATTTGCCTATAAGGACCATAAAGTTTCATTTAAATACATTTAATTAGTCTAAGTAACAGGTATACCAAATTCAGCATGACTGCTGACCATACTTCTTTGTTTAATGAATCACTCTTTCTTGAAGTCCAAGGAGTTAATGTAATGTCCATTTGGACTCCCGTTCTTTCTTCTATATCTGATGAATGCAACATATCAGATGTTATTCTGTTACTGATACATAACTTTTACTGACACTGCCCAGTAATGTTATATTTTAGGGTCCTGTTACACTGAATCATGTCCATGGTTTATGCTGACCGTCTTACAGTGTATACACTTTTTCACCTTATTCTTCACTTCCACACTACATGTTTCAGTACTAATGTGCCATCCTCAGGTGTCTTTATGCACGTTAAACTATTGTANCACACAGATCCAGCAGTACAATGCATGCAGTAACAGAAGCAAAACACAACACAGAACACGATACACAAATATATGTAGGAAGAATGCTCACATAAAAGAGGATTGGCGTAATTCGCGTGTTTGAGTGCGACGTAGGAAGAATCCTGAAAAGTTTTATTATTTAGAATTCATCGTCCTATATGACGAATACAGATTCTAGTCACTTTAGAATGAAGACATTATGGCATGCAGTACAGTAGTTTAATGTGCATAAAGACACCTGAAGATGGCACATTAGTGCTGAAACATGTAGTGTGGAAGTGAAGAATAAGGTGAAAAAGTGTATACACTGTAAGACGGTCAGCATAAACCATGGACACTACCCAGTAATTTTGTCTTTTGTATGAAGTTAACCTTGGAGAATAATGTGGGATAAAATTTTATGTGGAATTGTGCAGCAGAATACAGTAGTATATTAATTTTTACAGCTGTGGCAGTTCCTTCTTATTCCAATAGTACATTTATTTGTGAATCTCCGAATATGTTGTCTTACTTCTGCTGGAAACAATTCTGCCAAAATTTGGCCTATCCATGGCATTCTATAACTTTTAAACTTTTTAGTACCACTTTCCATCTCAGCCAAACTGAGTTCAGGTACTCATTGTCTAGCCCAGGCATGTCCAACTTCAAACAGGTTGTGATCGACTTTTTAGTGTCAAAACTTCCAGTGTTCTTCCACCCCCTCCTATCGTCATACCTCGCTTTAAGCAAAAATATTGGTAAAAATAACATGACACATGATGTTTGTTGTAAAAGCAACATAAATTGAAAGTATAGACTACTTTAATATGTATTTTCCCTTCAAAATCGGAATATAATCATATTATATTACAAGTGAATTTACATGCTTTTCACATATACTTTCCTTATAGGCCTGTGAGTTCAACCAAAAATCGTCCTGCGATCGATCGGTCGATCGCGATCGACGCGTTACACATTCCTCGTTTAACCTAAGGTATTTAAGTCTGCTTGAGATACATCTAGTGTAGACCAGTTGTCTTGACAAAGCTTCTGTGTTTTTCCTTAGTACCTCAGAAAAATCATGGTACAGTACTGCAAATCAAGCCCATTTCTTCTTGCATGCATGTTTACGAACCTATCATTCGATGCTGTACAATAAGTGGTGTTGAAAGCATCATTAAATTAACGGAGTATAAATACAATAAATGCAAAATCAGAATTTCATGGACCCACAGCCTAGCCACTCTGGAAATTTCTTGCCTTTTATAGTATTTGAAAATTCTTAATGCATTTTAATTCAGAAAAATACATTCCCTGGGGATGTAAATTGTAATCCCAACATTCACTGCTGTGAGAACAGAAAATACTAGAATAAACAGATTTGAGTCCATGATTTATTTAAACCGTCTTGCAGTGCATACACTCATCTATCTCCTTCTCTCACTCGCACTACATGTTTCGGCACAAAAATGCCATCTTCAGGTGCTTACTCAATCCACGCCAAACTAGTTCATTGCATGCCTTGTCCTCACATTAAAATAACTAAAATATATATCTATCATATACATTGACAAATGTCAAACGTTAAAAATATTAAAATTGTGCCGGATTCCTCATCTCTACGTCGCATCTCACTACGCCAGTCACGCCCATCCTCCTCTGTTGGAGCAATCCTTCACTATCGTGTGTGTGTTGTGCTTTTGTTGTGTCTTGCTCCTGTATAACACATGCAGTCACAGGAGAAAGACACAACAAAAGCACAACACACACACGATAGTGAAGGAGTGCTCCAACAGAGGAGGATGGGCGTGACTGGCATAGTGAGATGCGACGTAGAGATGAGGAATCCGGCACAATTTTAATATTTTTAACGTTTGACATTTGTCAAGGTATATGATAGATATATATTTTAGTCATTTTAATGTGAGGACAGGGCATGCAATGAACTAGTTTGGCGTGGATTGAGTAAGCACCTGAAGATGGCATTTTCGTGCCGAAACAAGTAGTGCGAGTGAGAGAAGGAGATAGATGAGTGTATGCACTGCAAGACGGTTTAAATAAATCATGGACTTAAATCAGTGCAACAGGACGCTAAAATATAACAAACAGATGTGTTTTAGTTTTTAAGGCACCCGCGTTCACGTCAGGTTACAATACAAGTATGTGAGGGGCAAAATTACGCTTAAAATGGTCAGTTTCATTTGATATGCAGTATAAAGATTCGACTTTTGGAGGGCATATATTTAAGCTTGCTATATTTTGAATTGATTCGTGTAAAAAGGGCAATTTTCGACTTGTATTAAATCACTTGTTTTGGGATTGGTGGACGATGACGTCATGACCGTGATGCTTTGCTTTGGATGCCATTGGAGCGCCGAGTTGGAGGAGTTGGTGAGCGGTCGGTAGCGTAAGGTAGGCAGGGTAGGCAGCATGTGCAGTGTCAGTATATACTACTCTTCATTAGCATAAGTGTGCTTTTAGGTGGTTGTGCTTAGTAAATGGATGAAAAACGTAAGTTTTGTATTATCCATGTAGAAATTTAGACGCATATTGCATAATCAGAAAGTGTAGCAGTTCTTAATTACGAGAACAGTTGCGTCAGCGCATAAATTTTGGTAACGTAGCTGTAAGTTATCAGCCGAGTAGTATTGTGTTCACTGTTATGGAAAGGGTATTGCATTTTATTCAGTAATTCGTGGCAGGAAAAATTACAGGTGAATATGTATGGACAGATAGAATATAAAGGCATGAATTATTAAATGGTACAACACCATGACGTTTCATATTGGTTGAAACTTATATCGAGAAGATAACGGAAATGGAAGTACAGTGAACAAGAAATTTAAGATGGTGGTCTGTGAGTTCATGGACGTAAGTGTAGAGTTTTTGTGTGAAAGCTTATACTTCACTCATTGTTACAGTGGTGTAGAAGTGTAAGAGTCTGTTTAATGGTTTTAGAATGTAATATTGAACGTGATCTGAAAATGTATTGTAAACGCAGTAAATCTTCTACCTACTATACAATTCACCCACAAAGCACGTGCTTTGCATTGTAAAGAAAAATTCTGAATTCCACTGATTAACGTTAAAAATATTTTTATTCTTGCGTGGAAGTTCGTTTTATTTCTTCCAAATACAATTGAACTTGTTCAATAAATTAGCACATTTTGATCGTATAGTAACAGCAATAAGAAATACATCACACGTGCTTCCAAACATAAAGAGAATTCGGCATAAACGTTAACTGATTCCATACATGGAAAAGGTTACACAAACGTTCTATCTTAAGGCATCACTGCTGGTTCACAACGGCTGCTGTATAAACTTGGGGACCTTACATTTAGCCATGCCATTGGGCATGGTATAATACATTTTTTGTTGTAGAAAGGAACATCATAAGCATACTCGTGACATGCTGTAGCAGTAACTAATAAAGTAAGGAAACTGTAGTAATTGGTCCCTCGAAGTCTGTCTGCAGCTGATAGGCATCTATTTACAGACTCGGAGGGCTGGTTGTCTAGAAGTAGCAGAGATGTTAATTGAAGCAGAATGACCTCAGGTGAGGGACATATGCTGGTAGGGAGTATTGCTACTGTTAGTTGACAAGATAAGCTTACTGTCATGTTTGTCCTCAAAATACATCGTAGGTGAGGGGGCTCATGAGAAAATTTTTTTTGTGAAGGTCATCAGTAATAAGCAGAGCGGATGGGTTCAAACACAGGTCAATCTGGCCCCCATTGCTGTAGGAAATATATCCCATTAGTGTATTCCCTTTATAGTACAGCCTATCTGAACATGGGACCATTGGATTGGTCAGAATTAAGTAAATAAAATGTGCAATATTTCAATAGAGGAGTATGCAGTTGAAGCATAATTAATAAAGGCTCTGAGGAACTCGACCATGCTTGTTTTAATATGCTTATGGTCATAGAAGGGTACCATACAAGTATTACAGGTCTGTATTATGAGGATGTATGAACTAACATTTGGTGTTAGCACAGCCCGTAATGCATGCCCTTCCAGACATCATGGGATGATGGTGAGTTTGTGTGGACCCTATGGACGTTATGTGAAAATGGCAGGCTTTGGACCTCTGTCATGTAGGTCTCTATCAGGGATTAAAAAAACACGTTTGCTGTGAAATCTTGCTCCTTTTGTAATTTTAATGAGGGATTGCAAGTGATTTTTGGATGGAACTAGAAGAAAATCATACTTCCGGGCTTAAGCTATGTCAGTCTACTGAAAGAAATGGGAATGGAGCTGACGAGATGCACGACTTTGCACCTTTTGTTTTTTACGTCAAGACATTATGAACGTTGTGGCACACTACCAAAAAAAAACCTAATGAATATGTAATTTGCATAGAAAATGTTACCAGTACTGACATGAAACTTGCAGGATTCCTTGCCAGTGGACGGAGATTAGGTTCACAATGGAGATCAGCACTTTGTTTCCAGTAATCAGTGAACAAGTAAGAAATTTTCTGTCAGTATTCCAAAATTCTTGAAGGGGCTCCATAGACACTTGTCAGGGTGCCAAGGTTTGAATGGGTGGTCACTATCCCAGACTGTTAGTGATGCTAAGTGTACAGCACACTTTTGGAGATGTAGGGTGGGGCTATGAAGGTATATATTATTCAGACAAATTTTAACGATACAAAGGATATATTTGTAACTGTGAACACAACAGTACAAAGGTTATTTATATAAATGTTGAACACAGCATGTTTCGACCCTTCTTGGGTCATCAAGTGTGTCGCAGTTTACATTAGTTGCTGAACTTTTGTTCAGATATGTCTCCATATTTTATTCATGTTTGACTAAAAGATTATGTAATTATTGCTTAGTAATAAACTCTAGTTCATTCACTCTTTGGCTTTCAGCTGTATTGATGTAAAATTAAATTAAATTTGAAGTTAGATGAGAAACTAATTTAGAAATTAATTAGAATAAAGTTAAAAGAATTTCAGTACTACACCCATTGTGTATGGGTTTGTATTAAATTTCCAAGTTACATAAACGTGAATAAACAATCTGAATTGGTTGTGAATGTCTTGGTGATTCTTGCCTTGTTTCTTCTTTGGGATTGTTTGGTAGTTGGAGGCCAGGTCGTGATGTTATGGGTCTCTTGTGCTGTATGTTCGTACGTGCTACTACTAATTTATACTGTAATGGGTTGTAGGTGAGATGGCCAGGGCATGTAGCACGAATGGAGGGGAGGAATGCATACAGGATATTGGTGGGAAAGCCAGAAGGAAAGAGACCACTGGGACTTAGGTGGGTGGACAATATTAAAATGGGTCTTAGAGAGATAGAATGGGGTGGATTGATCTGGTTCAGTATAGGGACCAGTGGAGAGCTCTTGTGAACACTGTAATGAACCTTCAGGTTCCATAAAATGCTGGGAAATTCTTGAGTAACTGCACAATTGGTGGCTCCATGCGTGAAGAGTGGGTTATAGGTTGAGATGTGTGTGTTCACATTTTCTTTGTGATACTTAGTGAAGCTCGCATCATGTTCTGTATCTGATCAATTAGACTCTATCAAAGCTCACTTGCATGCAGTACAGTGATACATTTTTTTATCCACCGACGTGGAAGCTAATCTGTTGGTGTTGGAAACTGTGTATCATTAGCTTTCAGATGAGCCTAGAATTAACTCTAGTTAAATTAGGACCCCAAATTATCCCACTTTTTGCAGGTTGTCTTGCCAAAGAAAGTGAGTTTTCCCCATAAAATTTTGAAATGGCCATGACAAAAGAGAGTGAAAATTTAACATTTTCACTCATTCTTGTAGGGCTTAGAAGCCCACTGAATTTTATTGCAGTGTGATGGGTTCTAGAAAACCAAGATTAATGACTGTGGGGATCCGTTGCACTGACCACGTGATTCCCACTATGTGCAAAAGTTGGCACTAACTTCGCCGACAAGCAGCGGTTGCTTGGTATAGTTCGCTTGCAGAATAGAGGCCACAGAGTTTTGTTTTCTGATGGCTTTGGGCCCAAAGTTAGTGTTTCTCTGTGTTCATTTGACATGTGATGAACCTTTGAAGTAACAGCATTTAATTTGCAACATGTACCTAATAATGTTGATGTGTGAGACAGTGTTTACAGTGAATAAGTTATTTTGTTGTAATTAATGACGAGATAATAAAGGTCTTATCTCGTGGGGATGTGGCTTGCATAATGGCAAGATCTTGAACCCCCCACTCAACTCTATACTTACCACTGCTGATCCTTTGTAATTCCAACTCCTTCCTATTAGCTGCATTAGGCAAACAGTATGAAAGCATCATGTGCCCAAATTGGTTACAAAAATAAAGAATTCTTGACCTTCTTCCTAATCATGTACTACTAGAGTGATTGTCAAAGCATGTAAAGAGCAAAGAAGTGTAACACTTTGCACTCGACCATAACGAGGCAGCAGATTTGAACTCTTGGAAATAAAACAGTTACATCTTGACACATGCAGAGTACCATGAAATTCACACTTAATGTTCTTGTATATACTGAAGTGATTATTTTTTCTGGTCCCAGCCCAACAATAAAAACTTTATTTTCCTGTATTAATGAATTTTGATTTAGTAAAGAACCAAAATTTAGTATAAGAAAATTTTGACCCTTGATTGTAATTGTGATCAAAGTATCCATCAGTATTCATGTTTTCCTTCTGCAGAGTATGTCTAGTTCATGTCATTTATTATTTCAGAAATTAATTTGAAACCACTGGTTGTATTGTATTTGTGTAGGAACTGTTTTATTTAATTGCTTTGTATAAAAAAATCATTTTATCATAATTGTATATAGTAAGGCTTACAAGTACATGAAGAATTTCTGGATTTAACTCTGCATAACCCCCATATTAAAGGAAACCTCAGTTTATTGTTAAGATAAGTCATTCTTTCAGAGATGGATTAAATAGGGATTTCACTGTGTGTACATTATATGTGCAGGAGTATGCCTCATGCACCCAGAGGCCTAAGTGAACTATTATTACCTCAGCTCACTGCTTTTATGTCAGGCTGTTCCCATGAAACACTAGTCTAAATATATTTCATTTCATTGATGCAAATTTGGTCTGATTTAACTAGTATAGTCTTCAAACAGAAGGAGTACTGTCAATATAATCAATAGTTATAAAAGTATGTAAGTTTTGAGGTTTTCACGGCGAAGACAATGAAGAAAGTTGTCTTCTGGGTTTAGGCACCATGTATTCTTCGTTTTGGCCAAAACGAAGAATACACGGTGCCTAAACCCAGAAGACAACTTTCTTCAATAGTTATATAAGTTATGGTACCAGTACCCATTTTTCTTTGCAGCATCCCTTGGGTGCTGTTTCAAAGTGTAGTGCCTCCTGCAATTGTGGGTTGACGTGCTATGATAAATTTTCCCCATCTTAGGCTGATAACCCACTGATGTGACTAGTTGCAAGTGGCTAGCCACGTCACTGGGTTATCAGCCTAAACTGCAGTTGAATAATTGACCGCAAGCGACTTGGCAGTCATGCCGCATTAGTGGGTTATGCACTATATACACTAATACAACTATCGGATACGTGTGGCAAAGAGCGGCTAGCTGTGTCGGTGGGTTGTCGGCCTTAGAATCAATTTTTGTGTGCCCTTTGTGTTATATGGGTTTGAGGCCTATTAAGCTGGCCTTTCCAGAATGGATTTGGACATCCTAAAGTACCTTTTTTGCATCTGTATACATAACAGCAGGCTCGGTGGCCTAATAACATTCTTTCTGTTTGGGTTCTGTAATCCTTGCACTTGTTATAATAGAAATACAGGGTAATACAGACGTCATGTGTGGAGGACACTAGAGATATAATCTACCTAGGCCAGATGCGTGTGTGGTTCCAGTTCACTCTGTTTGAAACCTGTGACTTTAATATTTTTGTTTTAAGAAAGGTACATAATAAAGAAAGGTGTATGAGGAGACCACAGTAAAAGGTAAGGTTGTCTCTGTGCTTGAACTAATTAAGCCCTACACCATGAATATGTATGGGGGAGTGGATGTACAGATCCACATATTCTTGATCTCAGAACTAGTTGGAGGCGAGGTCATCACAGTATAAAAGGTAAAATCATGTACGGAGGCGTTATTGAATGTGCCATACCAACATTGAAGCCCAAAGTAATGGGAACTTTTCCTACAAATTTTAATGAAGGATTCATACAATTTAGTAAAAACTCAAACTGGGAATTAAAAGACACTTATGATGGGTGAACTAAACATCATGATTCTGGTAAGTAGATACTATAGGGTTCTGATGATGGTGTATAACAGAGATAACGGTTTTTTGGACTTTGTCCATAGTCTGGATTCTAAATTCTAGTACCTTAACGTACACATATATGCCACATTAACACACCAGTAAAAGGTAAAGTCCCTGTCCTCGGTGAATTAAGCACTATCCCATGAAGGTGTATGGGGGAGGAGATGGTTGCATAGTCAGTATAGTGACTGGCTATGGGCTGCATGAATTAGGGATTGGAGTTCAAGTCCTGGTAGGGTCAAGAATTTCCTCCAAATCCTCCAGACCAGCCCTGGGGCCCATCCAACCTTTTGTCCAGTGCGTAATGGGGAAATCTTTTCCCTGGGGGTAAAGCAGACCAACTCCAGCTAGTGGCAAGGTCAGGAAAATGTGGATCTATAAGATTTTATGAACAGTTTTGTAAAAACCTCAAGTGATTGTATGAAAAGCAGTTGTTAATAGAATGCGCTTTAGAGTTTGTACATGTCAGAATATTGAGTAAATATTTCATGTTGTATTGTGCCTGTTTAATATTAGTATAATCCCAAGATATCCCGATTCTACCATTAGAGCTTCCATGTAAAGGTTTTAATTATGTAATGTGGCAAATCACTCATTCCTTCCCACAAAACTTAGCTCCATGGTATTGAGTTCAGTAGCAGTGTTGTGGGTAATTTCAAAACGTGTTTTGCTTAGTAACATTTTGTTGTGGCACAGTTTTAGAGCCTGGCCTTCAAAGGTCCTAATACTGCAAAGTACATAAAAGATATTACTTACATATGTCCTTTATGCTCGAAGTGTCAGGATTGCAGGACGGCTGTGACGTCATACCTATCAACACAGTGTTACCACAAAATGCATTGGAAAATACGCTAGGCATGGCTCACGTTTTGGAATTGCCCCCCCCTAGGACTACTACTGACTTTAAGTGCGAGGGGACACCAGGGAAACTGGCAACCGCAGCGTTTACCCGTTTCCCTGGTGTGCCTTCGTCGTGATACTACCGTGACGCTGATGGGAGAAATGCTGTTCATGTTGGTAGAGGTAGAAGCGGGAGGGCCAGAGAAAGCAAGGGAGGGAAATTCTCAGTCTAAATTTATCAGACAGTTCCAAAATAAGTTTATCTAGAACAAGCTTTGTGGTCTAGTGGGTAAGACAGTGGACTGGCAAGCTCATGATCAGCAGTTCAAGACCAACTGGCAGCCGATAGGAAAAGACTTTGATAAATATTATTTTCTGTCAAATCCAAAGGCGGTATAATTCATCAGGAAGTTCCAAAATTGTTTTTAACGTGAAAGCATCGTGGTCTAGAGGACAAGGTACCGGACCAGCAATCCACACTTCAGCAGTTCGAGTCCACCGGGATATAGAAGATATAAAACTACACAAAGAGGAGTTAGGAGATTGGAAGACAGGTGGCAATAGTAGATAGGATTCTCAAGAATTTCTAGCACAGCCACAATTTTTGTAAAACTTCCATTCTCTGCTAGATGGCAGGGGGAAATTTTTCAGAATAATTTTCGGTGCACCCATAATTCTTAGTATCCAGGAACGCCGGCAGGTGGCACTTTGTTTCTTGTGCCGCCGTATAGACTGGCAGTGGTTGATGCCATCTTTAAGGATAGTACCCACTAGATGCCAGGAATGTGGAATCAAAGGATTTGGTAGGAGCTACGTAACCCACCAGGAAATTTGGGCAGTTTGGCTCGTCAGTACTCTCCCCCCACCACACTGCCTAAAAATACAATGGCAGAAACAATATGGAATCTTTTGGCCCTGCATATATGAAACGTAACCCCAAAACGGGCTTAATTATAGTTTTAAAACCCGGGAAAGGGGAAAACCAATCTACTGGGAAGTATTGGAGCACATTAAAAATCATTTGCAAGAGCATTACAGTTTTTAAACCACATACTCATACAAAGCAGTCTCCTGCAAACAGTACTACTGAAGTTTGATATGAAAATTACCTCCAACCTAAATAGCAGAAATGTATCGAGGATAAAAGCAGCGTGTACAAGAGGAAATTAAAAGGTAAAAAATGAAACTCCATTGATTGAAAAGTGCATCTCGGTTTTGTTGAGCATACAACAGCAATTTAGTAAAAATAACTTATTGCTACAAGTGACAAAATCCCAACACTGAATATTACTTCCAAAGGAAATCATTTTAATTTATACTTTGTCAAAATTACTGAGGAGTCCATTAATGTATCTAAAACCTCAGTGGACTTTTACTGAAGTACAAAGCATTACCAATCCACAAAATCACTCTCTTCACTTGTCACTGAGAACGTCAAATCCAGCACATGAAAGTAAAGTTTTAATTTTGTGTGGCAGTGAATTGTTCTAGAGTGAATCTGTAAGTAAACTGAGACACAACTTTGCAAATAAGCACTGATCCTATAAACATGCAACAGTGCATAAATATGAATGGAATTGTAATGCAAAAGGGAAGATAATGGGAAATAATACAACATTAATGGACAACTATTTGTGCACAAGAGTAAAGAAAATGATACAGGAGCCCACACTTCACATTACATTGTTTCAAACATGGGCATTAAATGTAAACTTTATTGATGTCTATGGTACATACACAATTGAATGTGGTGTTCTTACAGTAACAAACACTGGCCTCCTACATGGTTACCAGTTTGCAGTCAAGAAAAATACAGTTAAAACCACAGACAGTAATCAAAAGCAAAAGTAGTGATCCTCTGCATCTGAGGACATTTCACCAAGTTCATCCCACCCCTCCCCATCAATCAGCCACAAACATCCGCATAACGTGCACAAGACCAACAAAGTGTTCCAATTCTTTAAGACAACCTAAACCCTAACTACATTAACCACAGAACAGAATGGGGCCACTGACAACCTGCCTGAGTCACTATCTAGTGTGGGTCCACACCAGCAACTGTACACATTCAACAAACTGAAAGTATCCTGACTTGGACCTTTTGATAGTTGCCAGTGCTCCACAGGCAAGGCCTCAAGTGAAAGTAGGAGAACAATACAAGGGGATCACAACACAATATGCAGTACAAGAGTCCTAGGTGTCTTCTATCCTTCAGGCCTCATAGTTGCACCAGTTATGGCACAAGCAGGGACTGACTCTATAACTGATATTTTTGAGCTCTTGTTCAAGGGATGGAAGACAGCCCAAGACTAATTTCTTGTTAATTTGGAAAGATTCACATACTTTTAGTGAAGCCTGACAGTCGGAGAGGATATAACTGCTGCTAATTCTTCTGGCTGCTTATTCACTCATTATACATGTCTTTATGGCATATATTTCAGCTGAAAACTGTGGTGTCTGCCCAGGATGAAATGTGGAAAGAGACCTTTCTCTTCTCCATTACATCCAGAGTGGCACTGAGGTCCACCCAGTATATCCAATAAGTACCATGGGGTAAGGCAGTAGGGGCATGAAGTTGACCACTTACCCCCACTCTAGTGCCAAGGCAAGCGTGGTGTAGCCATATCTCCACTCCCCCATACATGTTCATGACCTGGTGCCTAATTAAGCCCAGGAATAATTTTACATTCTACCTTGCATAAGCTAGAATTCTGTAGAACTTAAGTCTATGTAATGCAGCAAAACTTCTGCTACTAGCAGATGTACAGTGGTTCCAAGGACTTCAACTGCAGCTGTTGTATTCAAAGCTCCAATTATCCCTAAGCAGGCCATCCTACAGAGTTCAACTCTGCTAGCCTGCAACTTAACCAAACTAATACAACATGATGATGGGTCTTGTTGCCATGGTGCCTCTAGAGGTCCAGAAGGCTCTACATTACTTCATCCTGCAACTGACAGCATCCTTCCTCCATTATTATTCCAAAGTATCTGGCTTCAGCGGACAGTCCTTTTCCTGCATGTAGCCCTACTCTTATCTTAAAGAGACAGGTACAGTCCATCACAACAGTCTTGCATTATTCTCATATATATGTTACCATCTCTAAGAAAATCTCATTTACTAGGGTGGCCATACCACCTTCATACTGTACTGCACAGTAGCCATTACCTTTGTGCTCTGAAGTTCATTCATAGGCTTCGCATCAGTAAGGACAAAATGTTCCCCTTCAGATATGAAGTTCCTCAGCATATTTTCCATATTTCTGTCATACAGCGGGTTCAGTCCCATGTCTACTGGTAGCTAAATACTGTGTAAAATGCTCCTAACAGAATCTTTTCAGGTTTGTCTTCATACGTATGCTTTGCATCCCATTGTGTATGTCACTGCTATATAAGCTTTCCATCCATCACAACTACTTTACACTTCTAATAACTGATAGGCCTGAATGTCAATTAAATCGGTTGGTTTACTGTTATTTTATGCTGCATGTTACCTAACTGGCAGGCAAATGTGTTTCAGTGCAAGAGGCTTTCTTGTAATTCCCCAACAAACATTTACTCAAGAAGTGTGAGTACAGACAGTGACTGACTGGTCCAGTCTGCATGCCTGGTTGAGGCACAAACATAACGTTGACCTGCCTCATGGCCACAGGCACAGTAACAAACCGTTTCACAACATGCTGTAAAGCAGGAGATATGCTTTCATCTGGTCATACCAATTATGCTTTAAAACATTAACTGGATATTTGATTCCTGATGGCCAGGAACCAGTCATCCATTTCAGTTCTCGTTTCTGCACACCCACACTTAACTCCTATGTTCTGGGCCACTCCTCAATCCTCTAAAATTTGGGAAATAAATTTCTTATGGTTCCTTCACCAAGATCTTGTGACATTGTAGGTGTGTGACTGAGTCCCAGTCTGATTTGTGGTCAGTTACTTGGCACTCATCTTGCAAATAATCTGTGGACCCCAAGCACTTCAAGGATGATGTGTGCTCTTGCAACAACCTGGCATCCACCGTCTTGTTGCATCAGGCCTTCACACCTGCCACATTATCTGCTTGCTACTGCACTACTCATGAGGTAGTACAGAACAGCCACTTGTAAATTTTGTGCACAAGTTCTTACACCCATAACATATGAGCCACAAACCTCCTCTTGCATTGATGGATTCTTTCTGTACAGACACTTGATCACAGCATGCATCTCCACATGGGATGTGTTGCCATTTTCAACCAACACCGTCCCTACAATATCACATTTCATGCATCCTTCATGTGACACCGAAGCACAATCTAGGCCATACGTTCAAATGCACATGGTTGCACTCACACTGCAGATCTGCCAACAAATATTATTCACCGAACAATTCACATATAACCACTGTCCACTTAAGCATGCACTAAAATCAAAGTACTTTCTTTTCTATTGTAAACACTGCATATCTGATAAACACCTTCCTCCCATATGTATGCCATCAATGAGGTAGCAGTTTCTAGAACAGATTTTGTACAGTGATGAAGTACCAGAGCGAAGAATACAACCACTCACTACTCAATAATTATTTTCCAGTGTGAAAACACTGTTAACAAGCAGCCTTATTCTTGATCAATTGCTCTGTCACTGTAGTTCTAACCAACAAAACAGAATGTACTTGCTGTTACTTCTGAATCACTAGCATTGTGTGCGAGATAGTCCTATCCTATGAAACCTTTGCATTATTTAACCATCTCATCAACCTAACACAGAATTTAGCACAAATAATTTCCCAGTGCCAAGATTCGAAGGACATTCTATTCCTGCCAGGGACAGAGATTCTCTTCACCACTGTGTTCAGACCACCTCGGACATACCCACCCCCTACTGTTCAATTAGAACCTGTGGCTCTTCCCCCAGGACAAAATTAGGATAGCATTTCTCTTCCATCTAGTTCTGAGGACACAGTTAACTTTTGACTCTTAACTGTTCTGTG